TTTTGTAATATAATCAAGTATGACTAGAGTCACTTGTGATAAAGCATATCAGAGTATTTATATAGTCATTTTGTATTATATTATTGTGCTGACGACTAGGGATATGGTACTTGTTTCCAAAAAGTTACTATAAAGAAGAGAAAAGTTCGCACAACTTGAAAGGCTAAGATCTGCTTGGAGGGTGGATTCAACCGTAGTGGAACAAGGTAAAGTTTAGCTTTACACTTCGTACAAACATAGAGTGATTCAACTCAGTGCTAACAACGCCTTTATCAAAAACATATACGCATTTCTTATCATTATCGTATCACATCCCATGACTTCTAATTGTCTTGCCTGGTCTTACTATGTAACTTGGGACAAGATTTCATTACTTTATCGGTCAGATTTAAACGAATCCAGTTGAGCTGCAATAGGTTGACCACGAATCAAATCATCTACTGCACGGATATATTGATGAACTAAGATAAATGAGGGGAGCTATATTACGAAAGTTTCGTGCCCTTTCATTCGCCGCATTTCGAGGAATTTAAACAATAGACGGAAGTGTATTGGGCAGTGTTCGCCATATTGAAGCCCTTAGTTGGACATGTACACTCTGTACACAAAACTACATTATTAAAAAACGTGACTGAATAAATGCCGGATGACATCACCAAACGACATTAATCGTAAAAAGAAAAGAAAGTGATGAACGGAAAATCCAATTTTTCCGAGAAGCATGCAGCAAAGAACATACGGTTATAGTAAGCGCCAGCCCGAAGTAGAACTTATTGTTAGTAAAGCTCGGTCGGGCTAGAGAAGTATCGTTGATACTTCTTCGTCGATGATGGTGGCACTACAGCAGAAGATGAAGTAAAAAAGAACCCATCACGTGGACTTGGGTAATTGATGAGGTGACTTAGCACATCTCACGTAGGGCTGACCCCTATCAAAAAAGCGTCAGTGACCACTGCTAACCAAAAGGTATTCAGTGACCACTGCTAATCAAAACGTGTCTTTGAACACTCGAAATAATTGTATGATAGGTTGCTTACGCCTAAACACGAAAAGAGCAAGTCCAAGCGCAAAGCATGCGTCCTGCAAAGAGAGTGTCCCTAAACCTGTGCGCGCAGACCATTTTTTCTGCGCTCGGACAAGTTCGCGATTATCCCCCAACCTCTGGGGCGACATGCCGCAGTGTTGTAACCATAAGGCTCAACCACTATGCATCTCGTAAAATTCCGGAGTTTGTCAAACGTAATTGTATTCTCGAGAATTGTAGACAAGGTCCCTGCTCCCTTTATAAAATCGAAAAGTTTTCAACAGTCAAAGCATGTGGAATTTGATATTACAGTGCTTTCTTCAAAATAAAAACAACTGTACTTGAGAGGGTGTTGAAGGCTGAGTGCTAGAGTCTACGCCGATCTCATATCGAGGTGGCACGAACTGAAGACGAGGTACATAGGAGCTACCACCGACTCTGATATTCTCTCGGACTTAGTAAAGTGCACTTATTCCAAATCATCGCATTTTTTTTGCTGAAATCAAGTCAGTGACGAATGTCTGGAGGTGTTTACCAACATCAATATTGCGAAGCCGACTCCTATCAGAAAGAAGTGATTGAAGAACCAGGTAGCGGCAACGCACTCAAACACTAACTTATCATAACAAAATGTTAATGTTGACCGATGCCGTTATTTTCATTTTATGTGCGCTTGTCTGCAACAGTGAAAGCAGTGTTTTTCATTCTTTGTACAGTTTTAGTGGCGAAGAGTTGGTCATTCCCTACTGGTAGGAAGAGACTGCAAAATGCGAACTTTTTTTCTACGTCCCATTCTTCATACTAGGACGGCCAAGAGCAAGTTTGCAGGACGATGAGTACGTCAACGGCTTCAAGCTCTATGTTGTCGACGACGGGCTCAACAAGCAAAGAAAAACCGAGGTCTCCCAAAGGCGGTTTCCAGGTGCGCCCCTGCGGTCTCCTCCAGGTCGAAATTTTTAGTATTCACTTATTAAGGAACTGCAAACAGTCAAGAAGAAGGTTACAGCGCCAACAGTAAGGGTTTCTGCGTTGACAATGCACATCCGCTTTTATGTTAAAACATGTTCAGAAAGGTCCAAAAAGTGATAACGTTAATATCGATGAGCTTATGAAAGCTTTGAAGGTGGTGAGAAAAGCAAAAGAACGCAATGTTAGTTCAAGAAAACACCTAAGGGCCAAGACAGAGTTCACGCCATTTCATCGTCGCGATT